GTTTTTAAGCCTTGTCAATTGAAACATTCAAGCAAATAATAAGCGATTGAGAACTCCTGCGCACTGTTTGAAGATGTGTGTGCATGTGTGCCCACTCATCCATAGCGCATACACACACGGAGAGCCTCGTCAGACAGACTTGCATTTGAACTGACAAACTAACACAAATGTCAACATGTTCATCTTTGTGTATCCTTGCAAACATTGTTGACCATGTCTTAAGTGAACGTAAACAGTCGAGAAAGACAATGCATGTGTACCAGTATCAGTGTACTGGATCTGTGAATTATGTCTTAAAGGTGACCTATTATGCAAAATTCACTTTTATAAGGTGTTTGAACACAGTTGTGTGGCTGCAGTGTGTGAAAACAACCAGCCTATAATGTTAAAAATCGACCCACTCATTCTTTTATAACCCTTATAAATCTTAAACTGTCTCTCCAAACGAGCAGTTCCAGATTTCTCCCTACATACACGTCATTGTAGGGAAAAAGTCCCGCCCATTTGTGACGATCTCTGCCCTATTAGCATAGACACTGCCCTGAGTGCGAAGCAGCAGTCCACCATTAATGTTTTTTTTTTTTTTGCTGTAGCTGCTGGAGATACAATGTCAGCGCCAAAGAGGCATTACAATTGTTGTGTGTTGGAATGCACCAATGAACATAGGAGTCTCCATAGACTCCCTCCATCTGAGCCACCGAGGACACGATGGTTGAATTTCATTTTCGAAGGAAATGTCCCAGAAAAAAAAAACAGAAAAGTGCTGTATGTTTGTGCTAATCATTTTATTCCGGACTGCCTCACGAGGGTCAGTTCAGTGCTGGAGTTGTGCAAAGAATGCTTCTGAAAGAGGGATCAATACCAACGCTTCGTGCACGAACGTCAGCTCCAGACAAAGTAAGTATCACGTGTCATATTTTGTTTTCCAAATTGCCTTTCTGAAAGAGCTTCTTGGCACTCTGTAAGGCTAATTTTGCTGAAGCTTCGTCTCTGCCTGTTTTCACTGATGCTGCCTTCATGTGCTACCAGAATGATCATAAATAGAATATGTGGTAGTTAAAAATTGCATATGAAAGCAATGTGATGTCGACCGCTTGAATTTGTCATTTCCTTCCCTGGGCCGTGTATGCCCAAAACTCCCTACGGCAAACTACCACCAGCCTGACACCCTTTCAGTGCATACTTGGCTTCCAGCAGCCCCTGTTCCCCTGGTCAGGTGAGCCATCGGATGTTCCAGTTGTGAACCATTGGTTCATGGAGAGCGAGAGGATCTGGGACTCCACACATGTCATAAAATGTCAGCACATGACATAAAAGCCAGGCCGATGCTCACCGTTCCAACGCTGCCCCGTACTATCCGGGTCAAAAGGTCTGGCTTTCCACCAGGGATATCTGTCTCCGGCTGCCTAGTTGCAAGCTGAGTCCCCACTACATTTGTCCTTTTGCCATCAGGAGGCAGATTAATGATGAAACTTACCAACTAGACTTACCCTCTCACTACCGCATTGCACCTACCTTCCATGTCTCACTCCTCTAGCCGTTTTCTAACTCTTTGGTCTCTCCTTCCACAGGATCTGGCAAGCCTGATGTGCCTCCTCCTCCTCCTCCAGAGATCGCTGAGGAACAAAACATCTACAGAGTCAACACCATCCTGGACTCCCGGTGACGAGGCGGCCGCTTGAAATATCTGGTCGACTGGGAGGGATTCAGCCATGAGGAGAGATCATGGGTAGCACATGATGACATCCTCGATCCTGAGTTATTGACAGAATTCCACACTCATCATCCTGATCATCCAGCACCCCGGGGCCATGACCGTCCTCATCGGCTCATCTTGCGGGCTTCTGGAGCCGCCCGTGGAGGAGGGGGTACTGTCACGGAGTCAACAGCAACACCAGATCCTTCAGCTCCTCCCACTCGCTCACAATCACCCGAATACTGATGCACTCCACCTGTCAACACCAATCAAAGCCCGGTATAAAGCCACCATCACAACCCTTCCTCAGTGTCTGGTCTTGTTGTTCACACGTGTGCATCAACCTCCCTGGCTCCTTACCTGATCTACTTACCTATTCATCTTCAGTCGTCTGCTCAGCTCTCCAGGTCCATCACCACCTGCAAAGACACCAGTGTGATTATTAAGATTATTATTAAGTCTATGCTCTGATCTCTCCAAGAATATCCATACCTGTGATCATCACTTTCTCCTCTTCTGAAGTCTCATTTAATAAACGCTGTTGAACTGTACTTACCGGTGTTGTCCTCTTCTGTTTGCTAACAATTGTCTCCTCTAGAGTTTCATAACCGATCTCAACAAGGTCTCAAATGAGGCTCAAGTTTGTCTTGACACCGAATCTGCATTCAATAGTCAAAGAGCTTATTATGAAGTCAAATATGTCTCGTCAAATTCCAAAAAGTCATTCCAACTGATAGAAAAACAAAAACCTGATCTTTTTAGTTTCTCAGTTGTTTCTCTTCGACAGCAAAGAGATGCAGTGGAGATCAAATGGAGACTTTTGCTTTCAATAAGTCTCCTGCTTCTCTGATTTTTCTGCTGAGAAAAAGACCCTGTCCTTTCTCCTAGATTTTCAACATAGATCTCAACAATGTTTCAAACTGTGCCAGACTTGACAAGAAAGACTGTCATGCAAAAATTTCGATATGATCTCAACTATTTCTCATCATATTCTTCATAATTTCAAACATCTGCCATCAATCAAAGCTGATACTTAAATGAAACATAACAGAACTCAATTATTAAGTCTCCTGAGCTATGAAAGAACAACCTCTGAGCAATACAATGCTCTTCCAGATATCAGCACCAGGACATGATCATGCACTTGAAAATACAGCGCTGGTTATGCAAGTATTATGACATATTATGTTTCACAGATTGCAAATGCAAATCACACTGCGGATGTCTGCGTGAGATGCTATCGGCTGTATTTTGCATGCGCACCCGTATTTTGTTATAATGCATTCGGGGTGTAATTCTAGTACCCGTGCAGACTGCAGCCCTGCAGATGACTGACTCAGCATGTAGCCTTAAAAAGTGCCTGTACATTAAGGCTAATGAGAGGAGGCTTTGACTTCCCTTTAATCTGCTTAAGTAAAGCATGGCCTCCAATGTGAGGAACGTCTACTCTTAACGCTAACATTCTCCTCCTGTCCTGTGCATCACAATGTGATCATGACAACAAAGACCTTGCAGAACAAAAAGTGCATATTTTCCTGAAACCAAAACACACACAAAACATCATAAATGCAACAGGTGCATGTGTTTCTGCATGGAACAGCTCTGTAATTCTTCATATGCATGTATATATTGAAAAATTTTAAGTGTGCCTCTCAATCAAAAATACATATATTCTTTTGGTTCCTTCATATTACTTTTACTTTTATTTCTATAATATATTATAATTTATTTATATAATTAATATAATAGTTGTATTTTATGATTTTAAGAAGTAATCAAGGAGTGACAGCAGGAGTCAATGCCGAGTTCTTGTTGCCAGGGCAATGGTGGCTCTTATAGGCTTTTCAGGCAGGTCATGTGACCAGCAGCTTTGACGTCACTGTGGGAGGCAGTTTGGTGCTCTGAACTAAGCTGCGGGTGAGTCTTATGGAGTTTTTCATTGGAGCTGCTGGTTGCATCAAAGCTTGTTCCTGATACCTGTGGCTGCATATCAGCACTGAGGCCACACAACGCCTCTTCCCTGCCGAGTTCCCCAGGTTATTGCCATCTAAAGTCTCACGGCACAGCACCAGAACAACCACCTGAGGTGAGTTCTATCTTTTTTGTGCATGTTTTGCTGTTTTTCTTGCAGGTGAAGTCTCAGCTGGTATATGCTGGCCATGCACTGATGCACTGTCAGAGGACGAGAAATTGAAAACAGTCAGCTGAGATTTTTGGGTATCTTGTGAGGTTTGGATGAAAGGAAGCAAGCTGTTGCTTGAACGTGAACAGGATGCAACAATCTGAACTCTTAGAATGAGGACAGCTCTGTGTGGAGAGTGAAGGTTTGGTTTTACTCCAATCTCTCCTTTATCCACTGAGAAACCTGGAACTGACAGAGCGCCGGAAGGCTACTGACCTGAGTGGATTTCAGACCATTTGGCTTTGGATAAATCCTGGAACATAAGGCTCAGAGGAGGGACACTACCTGATTTCACAAGAGAAACACAGAGTCTGATCACATGAACAAGACCAGATCATCTGAGCTACATTACATGCACTTTAAAGTGCCATGTAGACAATAGAATATACCACAATTTTTTTTACATCAGAACTAGAGATAGCTTAGACACATACACACAAAAAAGATTGAATTTTCATGCAATTTTCAAGTGTGAAATAGCATTTGTTTTGTAAAACATGCTCTAATAATCTTAATCTCATTTATAACTTTGAAAAAAAAAAATCATAGTGTAGTCGACATAATGTCCATGGACAACATAAGTCTTCTTCAGATTTTTTAATTACCCTTCAGCTTTTTGCTTGAGTTCACTTCAGTAAGTGCAAACAGTCCATCTAATTAACATAAGCTCATCAATTCTAATTTAAAACGCCTTGAAAAATCAGACAATGTCTGTGCAAACATTTGAATGCATATGCGAAGTCACACTGCAGTTATAACAACTCTATTGTTTTAAATTCACATGGATTTGTGTGAAAGAGGAAATAAGCCTTTTGCTCTAAATGACTTAATTCTCATTATTGAATGGTTGGTCACTAGTACACTGAAAAATAGAAGAGGAATCAGATAAAGTCAGTTGAAGTATCACTGGGAACTCGGGTTAAGTGGCAAACTTGTTTTCAGAACACTTAACAAAACATCTCAGGTTGCAGGAAGTTGTTGAGACGCTCTTTTTTCACTTTTTGCATTGTTGTGGCATGCATGTAGGCTACACTGCAATGTTTCAGATCTGACAGGTTGTTCCGAAAGCACACATAATTCTCCGAGAGGGTTTTTGTGAAGACGCAAGTGGGCGCTTGGAAAAACGTGACGGTCTGTGGGGATGTGGAAACAGATGCTCGGCTTTGTGGGAGAGTTTAGAAAAGCCCCAGAGAGAGGGAGAGAAATGAAAAGAGAATGTAGAAAGGGAGAGGGGAGTGTCTGTTCAGAAAACTTCATGTGAAGAGCTGCTGATATACAGAGCTGATATAGAGAGGGAAGAAAGGAGGAAAGAAAGCTGGCGACATCACTAGGTCCAACAAGTGAAACTGAAGTGCATCATTTACATCAAGGTGAGTCAGAAGATGAATGTTTTTCTTGCTACTGTCACCTTTGGCTGTATTTGGTTTGTAGGGCACTTTTCTTTGTGAAGCTGCCTTGGAACGAAATGCATAATGAAAAACGCTTCATAAATCTATTCAATTCAAGCAGTCTGTGGGTAGTTGATATGACATATCAGACGGTACACTGTTAAAAATAAAGGTTCCAAAAAGGGGTTTTCGTAGCAATTCCATTGAAGAACTATTTTGGAAAAGAAGCTTTCAAAGAACCCTTCAGGGGACAGAAGGAATCATTTTTTTCTTAATGTGAAAAACATTTTAAATCGTCTAAAGAATCTTTTTTCACTATAAAGAATCTGGAAATGGAATGGAAATGTTCCATGGATGTTAAAGGATCTATCTATCTTATAAAAAATGTATTATTTTATTTTATATTATTATTATATCTTGATGTTGACAACCCAACAACATATTATTTGACATATTACCCTGTTGAAAAAACCAGCATATGCTGGTTAGGTACCAGCTTAAACCAGCAAAGGACCAGCATAAACCAGCAAAGGACCAGCTTAAACCAGCAAAGGACCAGTTTAAACCAGCATCCCAGCGTCAAAACATACCTAACCAGAATATGCTGTTTTTTTCAACAGGGTATGGAAATCTGACGTGACGTTATACCACCATCTTATATCTTTATTTTGACAAAAAAAAAAAATTAATAAAAGGACAATGTATTAGATGTCTAAGTCTATCATGTAGACTGGTTGCAGAGATATACATATGTAATGTTTGGTTTGGGATCAGAGTATTATGACCAATGCTGTCCATTAATGACTTCTGTTTAATAGTGCACCTCATAAGCGTGTAAATATGAAGTGTCCACTTTCTCTGCGTTTCAGCCTTAGTATAAAGGTGGTAAAAGCATATACTGTGACTTGTTGTCTCACTTATAAAATGCTTAATTAGATCCTGAGTGCTTCTGGATCTCAGTGGAGCATGATGGAGCATGTGAATGTGGCGGTGTTTGGATTGACTCTTGTGAGGATTGTGTGTATTTTTAATGAGGCTGAGGGTAGAGTTATTACTGTAATGTTCAGCTCAAGCACGTACATTCCCGGTGACAGCAGCTGAGAACGGTAATGGCACTTTGTAATGAGTCAAGTGATAGTGATTTCACACTCGAGTTCCTCTACATTCAATTTGTGTGCATTGAGGCTGTAATGTAAAGGCATTTCCTGTTTGCGATCATCATGTGAAGTCACTATTGCTGTAATTGCCCGTGATTTCAAACTGTAAACGGTACGAAAAAAAATGTTTCCAAAAATAGGGGCTTTGCAAATATTTAGACTAAGAGCATGTGCAGGAATTGTCGAGCGTGGCTGGCGATGGCGTTTGGTGCCGTTCTCACAGAAGGATGGAGGATTGTCTCGAGGTCAAGCAAGGATAGTTTACAAGCAGTTAACGCTTTTAGATTGATGGCTGGATGTTTATATTTGAACTAGACAAAAATGCTTTATGTCAAAAGTCTGGGTATTAATATAGAGTTGCTGGGGTTTTTCAGACAGGAAATATGGACCTTTAACGACCTCAGCACTGTCAGCCGAGTGTGTGATATTTATAACTACTTTCAAGTACATTCACTGAATTTTTCTCATACAAGCGAAACATTTAGAAGGTCATTTTCCTCTAGCTTTCGGCTGCTTATACTTGCACAAATGTTAATCCAACATGTTTCTCTTATTTAAAATTCCACACTTTAGTTTGACAGTGTTTTGAAACCATTTAGTGCAGGCAAAGATCTTAGCAGAGGTCACACGAGAGAGAAAGACACCATTTTAGCCGAGGCCTGTAAAACCTCACTTAACAATCACAAACGTTCTGCATCCATGCAGAATTCCAGCTTATTTTACAAACGTCTAGTCTTTTAATTATTAAGGGTTCGTTTTATAATGCATATTTTATTTCATCTGTTTACTCTTGGGTGTTCTTGAGGTTGCAGATGAATGTCTCAAAACATTTGTGATTTTGACTTACAAAAAGCACATTGTTGTGTTTTAAGCATTGGAGTCCAGTATGTACCAGTATACAATATAAGATATTTAGTGGCCCTTACATAACAGACATGAGTCTATATTTATACTCTACTGCTTCAGATTAGCCCTGCAGAACCTTGAGTTAATCCTGCAGGTACAAAGACACAGAGAGAGAGATTGTGAGGGAAAGCAGACTTGTTAGCTAGTTAGCTAAAGGAAATTAAACAACGTGTTAGTTAAAGGAAAGTTTTTGATGCATTGTGTGTTCTGTGCAGTCAGTGTAGGACTCTTGCAAGCAGATTTCAGACTCACACTATTAACTAGTTGCATGCATATTAGCATATTGGCTGTTTATTAGTTCTTACAAAGCACATATTAATGCTTTATTCTGCATGACCATATTTTAGATCCCTTAATCAACCCAACACCTAAACCTAACAACTACCTTACTAACTATTAATAAGCAGCAAATTAGGAGTTTATTGAGGCAAAAGTCAAGTTAATACTTGATAGTGAGAATTGGTCCCCAAACTAAAGTGTGACATATATCAATATTAATATTTATTGACTGTATCACTTATGAGCAGATCATGCTAAATGAGATTAAAATTCTTAAACTGGCCCCTAGGGCATTTTTCCCTTTATAAAAAAAAAAAAAAATTTATATTAAAATTCTCCAACCTTATAAAATGGGCCACACATTATTTTATGGTCCAATTCTCGCTATTAATGACCTATTACGACTTTTGCCTCAATAAACTCCTAATTACTGTTTAGGTATTGGGTAGGATTAGGGATTTCAAATATGGTCATGCAAAATATGTGCTTTTTAAGTATTAATAAACAGTCAATATGCTAGTAATATGCATGCTAATAATCAGCTAGTTCATAGTGAGAATTGGTCCCTATGCTAAAGTGTTACCATAAAATGAGTTTGAATGTGTGAAATTCTTGTGGCATGGTCATATTTACTGGTGTTCGGTGAATTTTCAGGGGCAAAATCCAGTCATTTCAATAGGAATTTCCCCATGCAGATTTCACAGCAGGTTCATGATGTTCACACGAGTTCACTGTGTTGACCACCAGAAAGCTGCTTGGGTTGAAAGTGACTTCTGTGCTTCATACATCAACTGACTATAGATAATTGACAATGGGCTTTTTTTTTTGCCCACAAATTTTGCTGAAATGTGATTGCACTTTTAATCAATCAATACATTCAATTGGAATAATGAGAGCACTGTGTTGCTTGATTTAGCTCTGGCTTTGTTTTAAACTATTTTTGTTGGAGACATAGAGCAAAAACAGATAATATTGAAAATATTGTGCCTAAAATATAAATAACTTATTAACTTTTTTGTTTAGTAACTGTTATATGAAATATGTGATATATCAGATGTTATACTGTAAATATAAAAAACAAAAACTCATGCAGGATGCATTTCTGCCCTAAGCTCTTATTAATTTCCAACCCTAGGTGTGACTGCATTATAGCTCATAGAGGCCCAATGTGAATCTTCTGTGAACAATAATGTATTTGAAACACATTATGAGGGATTATGTGTATACAGTATTTTTTTAACTGTTTAAATTGAACTACTGCAAATTGAGCACTGCAAAAATTCATAATTCATTATTTTCTTAAAGGGTTAGTTCACCCAAAAATGACAATTCTGTCATTAATTACTCACCCTCGTGTTGTTCCAAACCTGTAAGACCTTCGTTCATCTTCGGAACACAAATTAAGATATTCTTGATGAAATATGAGGGCTCTCTGACCCTCCCAGAGACAGCAAGGTAACTACCAGAGACGTAGTTCGTAGAGACGAAAATGTGGAATAAAGTTGTTATTTTAGTTTTCTTTGCGCAAAAAAGTATTCTCGTAGCTTCGTAACTTTACTGATGAACCACTGATGTCACACGGATCTACTTTATCGATCATCTTGGTACTTTTCTGGACCTTGAACGTGGTAGTTACCTTGCTGTCTATGGCAGGGTCAGAGAGCCCTCAGATTTCATCAGAAATATCTTAATTTGTGTTCCGAAGATGAACGAAGGTCTTACAGGTTTGGAACAACACGAGGGTGAGTAAATAATGACAGAATTTTCATTTTTGGGTGAACTATCCCTTTAACCAGCATTTTTGTTGTGCTTTCCAGTAAAAATATATAAACCCTTAAATCAAGATCAAAAGCTAAATGTGTTTTAATAATTAATTTTATTTACTAATTATTATTTCATGTTATTATTTCATTATTTCCAAAGTCATTCTTAAGTTTACATTTTAAAACCTGTGAAATCATATTTCCTAACATGTGGAAACACAGTTGAGACCTAAACTAAATGTTTATAAATGAGACATAAATTGATGTGGCATGAATTTGGTGTTAGCATAGCACAGATGTCAAATGTAGATTGAGGTGAGCAGGTGCCAGCAATGAGCCACAGAAACCAACAGTCTTGCAAGGGCTGGCATACAGTTAATAGCTATGTGTGCGATACATGAAATTCATAACTAAACATTAAACATTGATCCTGATTCATTCTAGCGATCAGCCTACAAGTCTGCTAATGCTCACTTGATTTTTCCCCTTGACTGTAATTTTAGCATACAGTACACTTATTGAACAAAGCAATGTAAATGCAGCACTATAGATGACTGTTGGTGTGAAGGAAATTTCCGCATTGACTAATGTCACTAGATGTGCCCATGATAACTCATACGCAGAAATGCTGTTCTTTCTTGCAGTTAACACTTACTGTATGTTTATTTTGGTGAGCTTGGGAAAGAACAAGGAAACTATGAGAGTACTTGATGAGCTTTTCATTTCGTAGCCCCCTCACAAAGATGAATGCAGCATTGACATTTTCCACAGTCATACTTCAGTTTCGGAGCTTGTGGTTTTATTTAGCCTCGGTGGTTTTGAAGGGTGGAGGAAATGGAGATATCAACCTTTGTATCACATGACACGCACCTTCCTG